TCTGTAGACAAAAAGCTCTAGCTAGCAAGGAATAAGCTTCATCACTAGCTCAGTCTTCAGGTCATGGAATGCTTTTCTCCTTTCCAGACACTGCTGTCAAAGTCCAAGCACTTTGGGCAACCCTGCAATCCCACTTTTGAAAACACCACAGATGGGGAAATCAACTTCTGTTCTTAGAAAGTCCCATAAACCCTCCTCCCCAAGCTTGCCAGTAAGAAGTTTCCTTCCTAGCTGGAATAGCCATCAGCAGTACTCAGATGATAGACTCAAGATCTCTCTGATTACACGTAGGAGTTGAGAAAAAAGTGGAGGGAGAACACAACATATCCCCAAAACATAGTCCTTGAAGTGCAAGTTGCAAACAAAGGAAGTCAAAGAATGAAGTTGTTCAAGGACTATAAGAACAAGCAGACTAGAGACAAAAACAATAATTTGGGTTAAAACTCACTTTAGACCTACTGCAACAGGTAGAACCTGCTGGCTGTTGGCAGAAAGGTCTTCATCAGCCTTGAAAGCAGGTTTTGTAATAGTGCTTTTTTATAAAAAACACCTTACTTTAAGGTGAAGCATCTACTTCTGCTGCATGGGGTAGACAGTCTTTTACTCCACTGGCTGCATTGGGTGCATGTTATAGGGATCACCTTCCCCTGATGTGAGGGGAAAATACTGCCATGAGGCGTGAGTTGTAGAAGTCCTGCTTCCAGACAGGTGTGACACATGAAGGAATGGAAATAAAATAGGCAAGAAGCAAAATAACGCCCTTGAGAGTGCAGAGAAAGGGAAATGGAGACAGAAAGTGAGATGGAGTGAAGACGTCTTCCTGGATTTGGAGATGATGTCCACCTGCCCACACAACACTTGTCTGACATCAAGCTGGAGCAGAAAAAAAGAGGTTGGGAGCATTTGTGGATACCAAGACTGATGGCAGTACACCTCCCAGAACTGCTGTGCTGGTGGGCAGAAGCACAGTAATAGTGCATTGCTTTTCCATTCTTGCTGCATCAGCAGGGCTTGCCCCTCATCCCAGCTCCATCCTGCGGCCCCATGGCATCCACTCATCCAGCAGTGGGGGCCAGCAGATGGTTTTCCTTGCCTTGCAAGGAACCAAATCCTGAGAAATCACATGGGCAAACCCAGCTTTTGCTCCCAAGAGCTGATGCAAAACCCAAGGTGAGGGTCAGATGCAGAGAGAAGGTGGCCAGCACAGCCCAGCTGCATTTCTCTGCAACTTGAGAGGGTCAGGTTTACAGCACTGAGCAAGCACCAGAAAAATAAATGATTAAAGGAAATTTGACAAGGAAAGGGGGCGGACGTGGGTAGAGAAATGGGAAGGAAGGAAAACTCAGAAGATCTTGGCAGAAAACCAATAGGTAAGAAAAGAAACAAAAAAAAAAAAAGAAAAAGAAAAAAAAAGAAAAAAGAGAAATCATTAGAAATCATCAGCTGAGTTTACCCATGGCAAAAGTGGAAAGAAATGGCTAGTGCAAGAAAGGTGTTGGGAGATGCTGCTCTGCTCTGCTTGCTGCCAGGCTTGGAGCAGACCTCTCTTTCCAGTGCTGGAATTTATGTGACAACAGCTTCTTGCTTGCTTTTGGTAGTCTATAGAAATGGGGACCTGCTGCAGTTCCTATCTCCTGTCAATCAACTCCACAGTCTATCTGTGCCTTTTTTAGTCAACTGACCTTTTCTATTTTACTTCTTTTTAAAATTCTACACTGCTTTAGAAGCCTAAGTTCTCCAAAAATCAAATGCTCCACTTAGCAAACAGGGCATATATCAAAAACACAGTCTCCAGAGCTGTACTTTTAGTTTCACTGATCTCCGTGCCCTCTCCACCCCTGCACAGCTCTTGCAGGAAAGATCACCTCGTGCTGTTAAAAAGGGGAAAAAAAAAAAAAGGAAAAACAAAAAAAAGCCACATTTTTCAATGGATTTGTTGTAGGGAGCAGTTCCTATGTCCATTATGCTGAGGGAAGGAAATTGAATTTATCGATTCCTCAAGCATGTAAGAAAGAAAAAGGAGGGATTGAAACCAATAGTTAAGCTGTGTCTCATTCCTGAGCTCCTATTTTCCAGCCTGGTCCAGAAGAAGGAGTACAACTACCATCATCTCCCTGCAATTTGGTGGCCGACAGGAAACAATTTTGTGGTTTAAATCCGGCTAACAGCAAACCAAGCCCATGTTAAGAGTGAGCCTTGCCACACAACGCACTTTTGTTTGCAGCCTCAGGATTTAATTAAACAGGTAGATAAAACCTACCTTTTAACCCACGCTCCAGGGTGTGCCTCAGTGAGATAAAAAACAGGCTGCAAAAACAGGTCAAAGATGATTCCACTGCTGGTGCAGCATCTGTGCCGCACTCAAACACTGTCCCACCGCACTCTGCGAGGAGGGGAGCTGCACCAAAAACCCCTCTTTCTGGCCCAAAGGCAGGTTGGCTTGGTTTCTCTTTTTCAGTGCTGCATCTGGGTTATCCATGGGCTGCATGGGCCCATAACATGGTCTAATGTGCTGAGAAATTTAAAATGCAGCTCCCTTCTGCTTGTGGCAACCCTCTTCCCATATGTTTCCCTTCCAGCTGTCTGACCAAACACCCTCTCCATACATCTTCCACCTACAACTTCTTTTCAAGGCATTTCCAAAACAAGCAGAAAGAGTAGAAAGGGTAAATCCCTTCTTTCTTTCCCCCTCTTCTTCATCTGACAGATCTATTATTCCCTTATAAACAACAACTTCTCCCAGAGACCAAACAAAGCAGCTACTTACATGTCATATTTTAAACAGGCGTGTTTTCAGGCCAAGAAATAAACAGTTATATTTTGGCAATCCTTCATTTCCTGTCCTATTTGTGAACGATAATGTCATAACACACAGTGTGTCCTATGCCTTCCTCCCTGGCTGAAACTTGCAGCAGAATTTTTTAGCTGAATGAGCTGCCTTTGATACATACAGAAAAACCATCAGAATGGGGGAAAAATGTAGTGAAAATGGGGGGGGGAATAATTTTTTTTCAGCACAAAGGGCAAGCTACAATACTGATGGACTCAGTATTCAGAGGAAACATCGCTGGTGTCTGCTCAGAGGTGGAGGGAAGTGAGATTTTGGGAACAGCAAAAGAACCAGCAAGAGCAAGTTAAGTCTAATTTTCTTTCCTTAGTCTGGAAAAATACATCGGTGTGATCTCACACCACATTTTGCTGTCCCGGACACCACCACAGTGACCATACACATGTGTCACTTAACCCAGCTGGTTAAAAACCTCCGGGGGACCAAGTCCCACTTGCAAACATTTGGCAGGAGCGCTCCCAGCTCGCTGGAATAAATCAGGCGTGCGCTGGAGCGGCAGGGACACTCCGGGACACAGCCTGGCCAGGGCATCGCGGCTCCATCCCAAGCAGCCAAAGGCTGCGGACCAACACTTCCTCGTTCTCTGACCTTTTCCATTTAATTACTTCCTGTGACTTTCTTGGAACCCTGCATCGGAAGGAGCAGGCGGCAGCCTCTGGGCAGAACCGAATGGCGTCGAGGCTTCAGCTCCATCCTCCTCCTCGAGCCACGGGCAGGATGGTTTCGGAGAGGCTGGCCCATCTTCTGGGTGCAGCGCTGCCTGAAATCCCCGCACGGCTCAGGTCCAGCGCCGCAGCTTCCAGGCTGATTTATTACCTGGCATCCCCGTTCTGCCCCCAGCCTGCGACGTGCGAGGCAGCACGGGCTGGGCGAGGGGCGAGGAGGGAAGCAGAAAGAAAGGCAGAGATGCAGAGAGAGGCGCTCGCTTGGCAATGACAAACTGACCTCTACGTATCGATCCGAAATGGTGCAGCTCTGAAGGGACCGATGAGTTTCCAGCATCCTAAGCCCTGTTTTGTTTCCCTCCTCGGTTTTATAAATTTACCTCAAGACTCAAAGTCTAATCGAGCCATTCTTAAGAAACTACAATTAAAAAAAAAAAAAAGGAAGAAAAAAGGCGAAAAAACCTTGTTATTTAAGTGAAGAGGGTTATTTTAAAAGGCATCCTGACAGTGGTCTTTTTTTTTTTTTTTGTAATCTGGCTGTTAACATTTGCTCACAGTGCACTCAGTGAAACAAGAATAGCTATGCAAATTAAAGCCAGATATCTAGGGCAAATAGCGCGCTATACTACCATTGTTCTGACAGCTTGAGAAAACTTATCAGGAGAGCCTGTCCTTATTTCTTTTAACACCATATATATTGAAGGAAAAAAAAAAATCAAATCACTTCACCCACCACTGAAATGAAAAAACAACCCATGAGTCACCGACTTCAGCAACACTATCAATCAATTCAAGGCTGGAAGCGAGGAGCTTAGAGAGGAAACCATGGCTTACCTAAAACACCTCTCCGTGCCCTACAAAGCCAAGGCCTGCACTCAACTCTGACAGGCCCAACACGGCCTCCAGGAGAGCCACTTGGGATGTGCACTGAGGTAAGGACCACGAGGCATCACTGACCCTGAAAGTCAACACACCCAGACCCCAACAAAAAAGCTTTCAGTGGCCCGGGAAGGGGTTGGGTATCAGCTCCCTGTGGTCACCAGCACTCCCCACCTCCAAGGGACCAAAGCACAGCGCTGCTGGCTTGACAGGTGACCCCAGGAGAAGTGGCACGACCCAAGAGCTTCCACACACATGAAAACCATTAGCTGAAGCCTCTGTCATTATGGCAGTGCAGCAGCACGTGGAAGAAGAATTCACTCCAAAACAAACTGCAGCCTACAGTTAGGGAAAAAAAATAATTCCCCAGCTAACCATCAGAGCCAAGTGCTTGGTGTTTTACACCAACACTCACCTCTGCACCGAGCCCTGCAGGAAAACACCTTTGGAGCAGTACCTTGCCTCAAGATGAAGGCTGGTGAGCGCCAGATTTTTGTCCGCTGAATTGGGTTAGGTTTAGCCCCGTGTTCTCAAATTCAGAGCGACAAGGACCCGCTTATCTTCCTCTTCTTCAATTTACAAAGTTAAAAAACCAAACCAAACCAAGCGAAGAACCAGGTTTTCATTGGAAATGAGTTGGTCACGTTTTTCCAGCCTGTTATGTCATGGCAATCTGCACGCAACTACTTCTTTTTTGGTTTGGCTTTTTTTTGGGGGTTGTTTTGTTTTTTGGATTTTTTGCAAGAACCTTACCAACTTCAAAATAACCACGATTTTAGAAGCTACATATAAATACGTATTTACAGTCTCTTCATTAAGAGCTGCCAAAATAACAATTCGTCTCAACACACACATATTGAGGGCAGAAGCCATTTCCTTCGCCACTCACATCTCTCCAGTGTATCACCCTAAAATAAGTTTACCACGGCGAAGCTCCAAGCGTGACACACGCCACCAATTAGGATTATTTTCGGACCTCAAAACCGAGCGAAAAAGTTGCACAATTTTGACGCTGCTTTATAAACCCTGCAAGGAGTCGTTTTTAAAGCACGGTACATCCTATGGCGCTTGGCACCAGCCCAGTCCTGCACGCCAGTGACTCACTCCTCTTGACTGTCAAAACCCCGAAGGAGATAGCCAGGAACAGCCCTTGGGCCAGCACGGCGTGAAAGAGCCCTTCCTGCCATGCCGCTGCAGCAGCTTCAGGTTTTATTTTTGGGGAAGAAAGCATTAAGAAAGGGGAAAAGGGCACCGTCGGGCATTTTGGAAGGCGCGGCGCGGCCTCCCGGGGGGTTCACCAGCGGGGAGGCGGCGTGAGGGCCGCGGAGCGGGGGTGGCCGGCGGGGGGTGACGGTGAATGGGGAGGCCGCCGGTGAACCGGGTTTATGAATGCGGCGTCATGTGACGGCGGCGGCGGCCGCCCTCCTATTCACAAAACGGCGGCGGCCGGG